TTTTGACCCTATAATTTATTTTAATACGCCAGTTATATATTTATACATTTATTTCCAATAATGATAGGTTTGGTCCTCCATATTAATCCACCTCTAAAAAAGTCTACCTCCACTCCACTTATTATTCTAAATTAGAAGCACCTGTTTGAGGTCGTTAGCTGCATAAAGACACCTGTCCTCCCCACACAATCAGTTAGACTCCAACTACTAACATGGTTAAGACCAAAGAGCTGTCCAGCGACAGAAACAAAATTGTAGACCTCCACAAAGCTGAAATGGGCTATGAGGGAGTTGCCAAGCAGTTTGGTTTAAAAAGATCAACTGCTGAAGCAATATCAATATATAGCTTATCAATGATCCTAAGAAAGATGAGGAATCAGCCCAGAACTACAAGGGAGGAACTTTTTGGTCTGAATTCTACTCGCAGTGTTTGGAGAATGAAGGTTGATGAAAACCATCCCTGATGAAAATTTCAGACCCTGTTTGATTTCTAAGTGGGAGAACTTGCAAAGCTGCAGTTAAATTCTTCTTTTCCTCAGTGTGTGTGCGTGCGTGCGTGCATACATGGATTGCCCCAATACATGAATTGCCCCAAATGTCATATAGGCACATGTTTAATGATCACCTCTTTTCCATTTGGTTAGATTTAAACTTTTAAAATGAAAATAATATATATTGAGTTACAAAGAACAAAATAAAAATGTGATTCAATCAGAAGAGAAAATTTGTAAATGTGTGTAAAACTTCGAAAACTTTTACGATTAAATTAATACTGGGAAGTTGTTGTACATGTGCCTGGTTTACAGAGTCTTTTCAGTTATTTTAACTTTTCTTTTTCTTGCTGTCTGTGTGTGTCTCAGCCTTCCTTCTTGGGATATTTGTGCTTGGCCAGTCTGACAAACTCTTCAGCGCTGTCCAGTGAAACCAGGCGATCCTGAAGGAAACATGGAGGGACAATTATCACAAAACAATTCAAGATCACACCTTTAAGTAAATGAAGAAGAACAAATAACTATGAGAGGCCCTTTAGGCCATAATTCGAACTGATAGTAAATGTGAGAGAGTTTGATAGTATATGTGAGAGAGTTTCATAGTATGTTTAAGAGAGTTTCATAGTATGTTTAAGAGAGTTTGATAGTATATGTGAGAGAGTTTCATAGTTTGAGAGAGTTTCATAGTATGTGTAAGAGAGTTTGATAGTATGTTTAAAAGAGTTTCATAGTATGTGTGAGAGAGTTTGATAGTGTATGTGAGAGAGTTTCATAGTATGTTTAAGAGAGTTTGATAGTATGTGTAAGAGAGTTTGATACTATGTGTAAGAGAGTTTGATAGTAAATGTGAGAGAGTTTGATAGTATGTGTGAGAGAGTTTGATAGTATATGTGAGAGTTTCATAGTATATGTGAGAGAGTTTGATAGTGTATGTGAGAGAGTTTCATAGTATATGTGAGAGAGTTTCATAGTATGTGTGAGAGAGTTTGATAGTATATGTGAGAGTTTCATAGTATGTCTGAGAGAGTTTGATAGTACATTTGAGAGAGTTTGATAGTATATGTGAGAGAGTTTCATAGTATGTCTGAGAGAGTTTGATAGTACATTTGAGAGAGTTTGATAGTATATGTGAGAGAGTTTCATAGTATGTCTGAGAGAGTTTGATAGTGTATGTGAGAGAGTTTCATAGTATATGTGAGAGAGTTTCATAGTATGTGTGAGAGAGTTTGATAGTATATGTGAGAGTTTCATAGTATGTGTGAGAGAGTTTGATAGTGTATGTGAGAGAGTTTCATAGTATATGTGAGAGAGTTTCATAGTATGTGTGAGAGAGTTTGATAGTATATGTGAGAGTTTCATAGTATATGTGAGAGTTTCATAGTATGTGTGAGAGAGTTTGATAGTAAATGTGAGAGAGTTTCATAGTATATGTGAGAGAGTTTCATAGTATATGTGAGAGAGTTTGATAGTATATGTGAGAGAGTTTCATAGTATATGTGAGAGAGTTTCATAGTATATGTGAGAGAGTTTCATAGTATGTGTGAGAGAGTTTCATAGTATGTGTGAGAGAGTTTCATAGTATGTGTAAGAGAGTTTGATAGTATGTGAGAGAGTTTCATAGTATATGTGAGAGAGTTTCATAGTATGTCTGAGAGAGTTTGATAGTACATTTGAGAGAGTTTGATAGTATATGTGAGAGAGTTTCATAGTATGTCTGAGAGAGTTTGATAGTACATTTGAGAGAGTTTGAAAGTATGTGTGAGGGGGTTTTTATAGTACATGTGAGAGCAAGTTTGAATTATGGCCTAAAGGTCCTCTCATAAATAACTCCTGCTTTCATTCACATCTAACTTTAATTACATCCTAACTTTGATATATTTTATTTCACAAATTGTCAGATCTATAAGCGGCTATCATTGCTTTTTAACATTATCACTACATTAAACAAGTCTGAGCTGTTGGCAATTGATTGCCAAGGAGAAAAAAAATAATGGAAAGAAAGGGCAGTAAAGATTAGGACTGAATGTACAAAAAACATGAAATGGATGGAACTGTTTGTATTTTTCTTACAAAGGCTGCTTTAAAAGATTTACAGCACATGCTGACTGAAAAAGTTGTGGAAGCTTTTGTGTGTGTTTGTGTACCATAACATAAAGGTATCTGTTGTGATGTTCTGTCCCTGGCGGGAACAGAGATGTGTGGTCCAGCAGCTGTGTCAACAGTTCAGTAGCTTTGCCGAGATGCTCCTGATCTGGACCGAACCGGCTCTTCCGGTTCACACACAGCAAGGAGTCCACCTCACACTGGTAACCTGCAGAGAGAAAAGGGGGAAATGAAGTTTAGGTACAGAATTATAGATGCTGACAGAAGTCTGCGCAGACAGTCAACCAGCTGAACGTGTTTTTCTGTTGGTTCAACTCTGGAAGAAACTCAGCTTCATCTTCACACAGGAGCTTTTTTCACCCTGAATGTCAGTCCCAACGTCACTCATCGGTGCATGGCTCCGCTCTCTGCTTTACTGTATCTCCATTAGTCAGCAACAGTAACAGAAAGAGAGACAGAACTGGAGCAAGGCTGCTGGTCCAGATGGTGTCAACCCCAGGGACCTAAAAGCCTGGGTGGGATTCTTGGGATGTCTTCAATCAAAGCCTGAGTCCAGAGAAGAACACACAGCGTCTCTGTTTCTCAAAAAAAATCTCATCTGTCTCCTTTCTGCTTCCTCTAACACCTGAACATGTTGTTGTTAATAAGAAAGGAAATACTTTTCTTTTTGTTTAGAAGTTGTTGATTACAAGGCTGCAGTGTTCATCTGCAAACTGGCTGGACTTATTTTGTGTTTTTCACTATTTGCAGCATGGTGCTGTACATCGTCTGTGTGGTGAGCACAGATTTTTTTTTTCAGCATAAGAGTCTGTGATGGGAAATACTGAACAAAGTGGTACGGAAGGTCAGATCTGCCCTGAGGAATGGACCTGAAGCTTCTGGAACTTCAAAAAAAAAAAAAAAAAAAGAATCTGTTGCTGGTGAACATGAAAACTCTCTGCACCTTGCACTGAATAAACAAAGCTGAGTTTTTAATGGTTTTTGCTGCTCTGCTCCAGAAAATAAATCCTGTTACAGGAAAATTACACTAAAGTTTCCACTTTCAGTTGAGTTTAATTCTTCTGATGCTTTGAAACAACATAATTTACTGGAGAGTTTGGAAGTTTTCAAGATAATTTTTGCTATCGATGAGGTTAAATGAGTGAATAAGCAGTTTTGAAACACATGACCACATATGTTGTGCCTAAAACAATGACACAAATTGTAAATCAGCGTATTAAGTTCCGTATAAAACAACAGATTGTAACCAGCTCACACCAGTCTTGTAAAAGCTGGTTGGATCACAAGCCAGTGTAGTGCCTTTATGATTTCCTGAAGCAAACCGTGAGCAGCACAGAGCAGAAATGATGTGGATGGACAGCTCAGAGTCTCACCCAGCTGCAGCAGGATCTTCTTCCATCGATACCTGACCTCCCGTCTGGCGTAGCACAAAGTGTGGATGTCATAGTTCAGCTTCTCCCATTCCTGCAGACAAAAAAACAACAACATGTATTTTTACTTTTATTACCTTTGCCTTTTTTTGACAAAGTGAAAAGCTGAGATAGAAATTTGCATGTGAATTTTTTTATTTAGAGGGGCACTAGCTTTTGATATTTTACTCACACTGAATAAAATATTCATTACTGTGATGATAACACGCTGGTGATTTGAACATACATATATTGTTATCAGTGGTGGGATGTAACAAAGTATATTATTAATGTAGTGTCTGTACTTTAGAGATTTAATAATGGGTACTTTTGACTTTTACTCCACTACATTTCACATTAGCTGTACTTTCTACTCCAGTACATTTCTGTAATACATGCAATTACAAATTACATTTATGTCAAATTACATTGTTTTAATTGGGTTTTTTTAGTTTGAAAGTCATTAGTGGTGAGAGGGGAACTGCTGTAATTGGTCCACCATTAAATAAATACCATTAGACCCTCCTTCAAGATGAGCAGGGCAATTCCTGCTGGAGCATCAGCGTCAGAACATGCACACCCAAAATGGATTCAATTTAATTCAGCTTATTTACATATATAATGCCAAGTCACAACATACAGCGGGTAAAATAAGTATTGAACACGTCACCATTTTTCTCAGTAAATATATTACTAGAGGTGCTAATGACATGAAATT